AACAATTTACCACGATGCTATAGAAAATGATGCTGGATAACAATCTGGTGCGGCATTTGGACGCGTGCGAGACGATGGGCAACGCGACGGCCATCTGCTCTGACAAGACCGGTACCCTCACCACCAATCGAATGACCGTGGTGCAGAGTTTCACCTGCGGTATTCATTTCAAAAATACGCCAAAATTTGAATCACTTCCAGCGGGAACCGCAACGGTGGCGACCATTCTTGTGGACGCCATATCACTAAACAGTGCTTATACTACACGCGTTATGGTCAGTGCTAATTACCATCATCATTACCATGGTTGTTGTTGTTGTTTTTGGTGACTAATAGTGTGTATTGTTTTACCATAACGTATAGCCTCCCGATAATGAGGGCGATAATCCGAAACAAGTGGGCAACAAAACCGAATGTGCGTTATTGGGCTTTGTGTTAGGCTTAGGCAAAGACTATCAGCGCCGACGGGAGGTCTACCCCGAAGACAAGCTCCACAAAGTCTACACATTCAACTCTGTCCGCAAATCCATGTCTACTGTCATACCATTAGAAAACAACGAAGGCTTCCGTGTCTTCACGAAGGTATGTGTTGTTGTCGTTGTTGTGGTCGTTGTCGGCGGCGGCTATCGATCGATACGATAATCGCAAAGAGAAACCATTAATGTGTTTGTGTCTCATTTGTGGTGTGCATTGTTTAGGGCGCGTCTGAAATAGTGATGAAGAAGTGTATGTTTATATACGGAAAAGAGGGACAACTGCTGCGGTTCCCGAAGGAAGAGCAGGAAAAGCTGGTGAAGAATGTGATCGAACCGATGGCCAGCGACGGCCTCCGCACCATATGTATCGCCTTTAAGGACTACGTCAGGCGTAAGCCCAATGGTCCCAATGAGATACAGATGGAGGCCGAGCCCGACTGGGAGGACGAGGAGGCCATCATCACACGACTCACGTGTCTCACGATAGTCGGCATCGAAGACCCCGTGCGGCCTGAGGTCAGTGTTTAGCCATATATTTGTCCGTATTTTAAATGATGACCAGTTTTTTTTATGCCGTGCGATTAGTGTGAATGGTATAGGAATTTGCCAATCATTTGATTAGTGTATTGTTTTTTTTCGTTGTGAAGGTTTTTGGTATTTTTTTTGCTTTGATTTGCTTTAAAGGTTTTTTGCATTTTCTTTGTTTTTGGCTTTTATTTTGAAAGAAGTTTAAGATTTATTGTGGTATAAAAATCAATTCGCTTTTAAATTCTCCTCTCTCTCTCTCTCTCTCTCTCTCTCTCTCCCTCCCTCTCAGCAGTTATAGCTGTCTGTCATTTACAAGAGAATGAAGGGAAGAGTGGATAACAAAAAAAAGTTTAAAAAAACTGTGCGTAAAATACATGTTAGGAATCGAGAGCTAAAAACGGAAATTGATCGACAAATTCATCGATACTTTTATATATAGTTTTCACAGAATAACACATAAAAACTAAAAGAATTCCGTATTCTCTCTCAATCATCCAATGGTAGAGAGAGAGAGAGAGAGAGAGAGAGAGAGAGAGAGAG